CTGGCCCCGGGGTGCCGCCCCTCGCTTCTTGCGGGTCCCACCTTCCTCCCGGCTCCTCTCCCACCCGCCTCCCTTCCTTCCTCGCCGCCTCCTCCCCATGTCGGCTTCTCCCCCGGGGCGTCTCTCCCCGTGCTCCTCCTGGCTCGTGGGGGCCCCTCGGCCTCTCAGGCGGCGCCGTTGTTGGCGGGGAGCGGCAGCACTTCACTTGAGGCTGCCTTGCCTCGCCTCATGGCTGCCGTGCCTCCTCGCATCAGCCCCGCCTCATGCCTGCCTTGCCTCGTGTCCCTCTTGCCTTGTGTCTGCCTCGCCTCATGGCTGCCTCGTCTCATGCGTGACTCACCTCACGCCTTCCTCGCCTTACGCCTGCTTTGCCTCATGGCCGCCTTGCCGTGTGTGCCCCTTCTCCTCACGACTGCCACCCCTCATGGCCACCTCACCTCTTGCCTGCTTCACCGCACATCTGTCTCGCTTCACGATCACCTCACCTCGCATGCCTGCGTGTCCTCATGCCTGCCACCCTTTACCCCCACCCCATCTCCGGGCTCACCCTCCTCTTGGCCTCAGCCATCATTAAACCACCATTCCAGCTCCCGTGTCTCAAAGACATTTTTAGCAGTTAGCCGCGGGCCACCAAGGCCTCCGTCCTCTCCCTGGCCCTGCAACACCACACCCGGAGGAGCTGCAGCTTGGAGACTCCCTGCAGAGCCCAACACCAAGCTGCTGCCCACAGCTCTGCGTGCCGGTGGAGGAGTAGCCTGTCTGTCAGCAGCCAGGTTATCTCAGTTTTTTGTTTTGTTCCGCGTCAACTTGTGTCCTTGAAACAATTCCTTCTTATATCCCTTCAATAACTCACAAGCTAAAAATTACACCACGGAAAGCAAGAAAGTCTCCCTGTTTTCAGACTGCCCCAAAGAAGCTGTGCGCAACTCCAAACTGGCTGCAGCCATAGCACCGCTCTCTGTTTCTGTCGTGTGCCCATTTCCATCTTGTTTAGGTTTCAGCCTCTTAAAACTCACAGATATATGTGTATGTGGTGGGGTGAGGGAGAAGAAACATAGCTAAAAGTGTTTTGGACCTTCAGATACTAAAATAGACAATAACAGAATCACAGAATTCTGTAATTATGTGATAGCTAGAAGTGTTTTGGACCTTCAGATACTAAAATAGACAATAACCTAGCAGCCATGGGGTAAATTTGAGATTGCGTATCGGGGGAAGAATTTGGAATTTCTTTCTTCATTGGGAATGGCACTTTTCTGCATCTTTCTGTACTGTATGATGCACATGGGATTTTAACTTTTAAAAGCAGCACCTCAAGGAAATTCAACACCATCTCTGTTTCACTTTTGCCCCACTTTAGGGAGAAAAAGGTGCTACGGTGTACAGACAGTGTTATGGTGTCTGCCTTTTAGCAGAAGCTGCTGCTGCAGGATTTTTCTGGGCATCAGCCTGTCAAACAAGCTGCAAGTGTCTGTAAAACCTTAGCTCTTGTTCATCTGTTCAGAAACCAAAGGTCTGAGCATTCGTGGGTGGTACCTGCACCTATGGAAAACTCCATCTGTCCCAGTGAAGCTCCATGCCTAGTCCTAGGCACATGGCACTGACAGTATTGGGCTTTACTCTGCAAAGTTCGGGATGATTAATCATTTTATAAAAGTCACCTTAAGTTATGATACAAATACGTATTGATTATTATGCCATTCTCAAGCCCATTGCAGAACAAGTTTTCCCTTGGAAGAGATGTTTTACATACTTCAGGCAAAAGGAGGGACTGTGTTCCAAAGAGCTAGTACAGTGATAAACCATCAATGGAAAACACAAGGTGTTAGACCTAAACGGGCGCTAAAATGACATCTTGTAATCAGTTCAAGGTGAGAAAGATTTACAGTGTAAATTTATCTTTAGATGATCATGCTTTTTGGACCTAATGGCATAAACCACACCAATATTTTTCCAGCACTGGAGAAGAGCAAATCTGAAGGCTTACTGGGATGTTTGGATTACTTCAAACCCCTGTCTGAAAATGACGGTATTTGGAGTAACCCACCTTTTCTTGAAAAGTTGAGCTGACATTGTAAGGATTTTTGAACACATCCATAATCTGAATTTGTAGGGAAGATACAATTCAGATATGTAGCTGTAAGTTATTAAGTAGATGTACTATGTGAAATGAAAAAAAAACCCCACAGCAGTGCAAATTCACAAAGTTCAGGACAGAAATTGAAACTCTCACAAATGAAATTTAAAGACTCTTGGAAATGTTTGTCTGTCTTCCAGCTTACATAAAATAATGTGTGGAGAAAAGGGATGGTGCAGCTTCCCAGCAGCGCCCATAATTTGGAAGTTCCTACTTTATTACTCTTGCTTTCGTAAAATCTTTAAAACTACCTTTTCGTATTGGTATGAAAGTACTGTTTTATTAAGGGTTTTGAGACTTCCTTCTGTACGTTATACATCACAAAGCTGCTGTAAGGGCAAGGTCTGACACAGATGTCTGTGCAGCAGTGGAATAAAACAGGAGGGGGTCCATCATTCACTGGTGGCAATACATTTATATAGAACAGCCAACAAAAGACGAGTAATTATTTCCAGGCTGGCATTGAATAAATGGGCTTTTAGCAAATCAGCAGTCACACAGCCTTTAACACTTACTGATCTGTGTGGCAAGCCAAGAAACTAATTAAAAAAGAAAAAAAAAAAACAACCAACAAACCAAAAATGAACTGGAAGTGAGTTTTGGGAGTGGCCGGACATGTCTCTAATAGCAGGCTCCAAAGTCCCTTCCAGACACTTTCCCAAGGTTTCCTGACTTTTCTTTTAACACCAACATTTCTCTCTGTCTCTCTAATCAAGAGGAAATGGGCTTTGCATAGCTTTTGTCATGATTTGAAAGTGCAAGCTGCAGTTTTATTTGAAATCTAAGGCTGCTGTAAACCAAACATTTTGTTCGATTGAAGTGTCAACCATTGTCCCCCCCAAAACGGGTACTCTCGCAGCCAAACATCAAGGCTTTACTTCTGCAAACAAGAGGACCTAGACCTAGCCTGGGCAAATGCAGTTCATAGAAGGTATTGTCTTCCTAACAATACTCAGTGCTTACTTAGTCTATGTGTTTTCCAAGTATCATGTTAAAACTAGTTAATCCTTTAAAGGTCCCTGTTAGTTTGACAAAAATATTTCTAACTCCACTCTAAAGACAGGGAAATAGAGATGGAGGCCAGAGATTTAAAGATTGTATATCTAAATTGGTGTATTTAAATTAAAATGTCCAGACCTGGCTGGAGGCTCTAAGGGATGGATGCTTAAAGAGCCTATCATCAGGATTCGAGCTTGAAAGCTTTGATCTAAGCAACTTGCCCAGTGCAAATCATGTGAATCAGGAGGTGAACTGTGGTAGGAACACAGGGCAGCTTCCATTCAGATGGTGCCATTTCTTTAGCACTGGTGGGATTATTTAGTAGGAATGCTGGAGGCAGTTCGAGTAATACCAGATTATACAGGACATTTCCATTTGGAGGAGGCAAGTGTTCTGTGCAGGAGGTATGCAAAGGGACAGAGGGCATGGGGAAATAAACGCAGCCTGCCTGCACCAAGCAAGAATAACCATATTTTAAAAGAACCTTCTCCATCAGCTATGGAAGGGGGTGCAGTGCATCCATCACTGGCTCAGTCCCTTCCCCTCATCATCACTAGAATAGCAGTGTCAGGGTCCAGAAACCTTCAGATTGGTTATTTGGGTCAACATAGTGCTGGGTGACAGTAATTCTGCTTTCTCCCTGTTGTTCATACCAGATGGTACAGGCTGCTCTTGTCCACAGTGCTCCCAAATACAAAACAGATTTCTTAGTCTTATCCACAGTAACACTGACACCCAAAGTAGTAACTAAAACAACATGTTTGCCTGCCCCGATACATTGAGTGCAGTGTGGTCTCCTGGAGAAGACAGTACAGGGGATTTAGGGATTTTCTAAACCACTATGTGTTGATAGCAGTACAGGGACCAATGATGTTCTGCATGCTTTGGCTCTAACTGCCCATGCACATTTTGCCAATGGTGATTCCAGATTTCTCTCAGATTACTTAACTGTGCCTTTCAGAAAAGGAAGACTGGAAACACGTGGAGGTACTGAATGCCCACTGTCAGCTCATTCTATGGACGGGGCTGGCATCCCTGTTCCCCTCCTCTGACAGGACTATTTGTGACTGGACAGAGCAGAGATCAAGAAGCATCTGTGTGTGTCTGCTCTGCCTATTGGTCATTAGATAAACTGACCAGGGACAAGGACAGGGCTCCTTATAAGGCAAGTTAAAGCATTCAGATTTCACTTGCTTTGATCTGTAAACCATGTATGGAATTTTAGGACTCAGTTATCCTAAATAAGGTCATAAAACATACTGTGATTCTTAGAGTCTAATTAGAGCTAGACCCTCATGTCATGCAGAGCCTAAGTCATGGAGAGCAAATATCCAGGCTTCTGTGGCTCCTGCCACATCCGTGAGCTTCCCATTGCTCCTCACGTATCCTGAGTATTTCCCTCAGGCTTACAGATTTTCCCAATGCATTGTGCGCACCGGGATTGTGCTGTACAGAAGAGGCAGAAGAAGCTGTGCTTCTAGAAAGGGCACTATCAGCATGAACAAAGCATCCCATCAAAATAAAGAACAAAGCATAGTCCTGTAGCTGTTTTTTTAGTCCACAAAACATCCACCTGTAATAGCTATCAGGCTCCACAGAGTGGAGCAGGCTTAATAAAAATCCATCAATAATTATTCTGCCTTACCTCTTCTGTAGTGCTAGAATATTGAAGAGTACTTGTTGGAATCCAGGCTTTCTCTGTTACTGCAGATTTCAAGTCAAAGTAGAGGTTTTCAATGAGATTTTTACTGAAGTGTTCAGTCACATTTCTGATTAGCATCTCTGTGCTACTCTTCAGCAGATTTTCAGGCCTAGAGGTAACGGCATTTAAAGGGGGGGATGTAGTTCTAGTACTCCATACAGAAGTGTCTGCATCTTGGAGATCTAAGACAAATAAAGGAAAGTAATTAAAATCAGCTCTACATTTTTATAAACAATACTTTAGATGCCAATAAATATGGCTGATATGACTTCTAAGTAGTTTAAGTGCACCTGTCAGTTCTATAGCTTTTTGTTTTCAGTACAAACATGTATTTTGCGTAAATACCAAAGTCTATGCAAAACAAAAGCAGAAAAACTTAGTTTCTCTGAACATTCATTTTAAATATAGTCCATCAATGATTCTGAAGTGAAGAGAAAGGTTGTAGTTTGTTATTAACAGCACAATGTTTTCATTCGTAGGTTTTTCACTTGCTTGTGTCTATCAAGGGGCACAGTTTCAGCTTTATACACTCAACCCCTCCTTTGTAAGTATGTGGGCCAGATTCTCATCTGCCTTTTCTCAGTGTAAATTGAAAATATGGCTCTGTTCAAGATAATTTTTCAAGACAATTTGTTCAAGATCATTTTTTGTTTAAGATTTTTGTTCAAAGTAAGTTCCTTGTGCCCATATGGGACATCTCTCTTTCATTTTTAAACCAGTCCCATACAGAGACCATGCTAATCCCTGACTGCTCTATTCCCAAGGTTCAGCTAACAATTGTATCAGGTAACTGAAGTGTTATATGTGGTGGAAATATAATGGTGGAATTGCTTTTTTAGTCACGTATCCTTCAGAGAACACCAAAGTTGCAATTAGAGTGCAGGAAAGATTTTACTACACATTTTTCCTCCACGTTTTCATGGCTCTTCCTCCCCATTGGTATGTATTTAATATCCTTTCTTTGTGGATGTGAGGGCAGGGTTCAAGCTGCGGTGGCCTCTACATCTGGTAGCATCACATTTCAGCAAAGTGATTGGAATTACTCACTGGCCCCTTCTCCTCACAAAATGCTGCCCTGCCATTGCTGGAGCACAGTTAGTGTGCATTGGCTCAACGCCCAAGACACTTTTGTCTGTCCTTGAACCAGGATCTCCAGCATGACAGAACCTTGTTTTGCTGCTGAGCCACTGGGCTGGTTGCCATTTATAACAATTTTAGCTCACAAACCCTCAAAAAAAGAAAAAAGTAATGATGGGGTTAAATTTCAGCAGAAGCTTCCAATTGTAATTGTTTGGTGTGCAATTATGATGTTTTAGCAGGCTAATGTGTGATTACCTCTTACCCCTCAGATCATGAAGTCAAAATGATGGATTTTTTTGTGTATGTGTAAATATATGTGTTAACATGTTTATATAAAGAAACTTACAGTACTCTCATTTGCATCCATGCAAATAAAAGTGATCTTGTAAGGCCTTGTAAGAGACACTTTATTCAAAGTTTTTCCTGTGCTTGACAGCACAGTGTGTTCACCTGGTACATGGTTTTGGATTGTCTTGAAAGGGATTGGTTTGCTGGAATGGGTTGATACCCAGATTAAATATTTCCCCTTCTTTTATCTAACTGTGCTTCTCTAGGAATAAAAATCTCCAAGTCTCCATCTAATTACAAAAAATTTTGATCAAATATTTTTCCAAATCAAGGCATTGAAAACAATACTACAGACCTAATTCTGCTCTCTCTTATACCCATGCAAAGGGTTTCATTGAACCCTCAAGTCTGGTCCAACACTACATGATCGTCCTCATGCTGCTACATTTGCAGAATCCCTTGCAGAGTCTGCTACAGTCCTACATCTCACGCCTTCATGGCCCCCACCAAAAGCACAGGGAAGAGTCTGGCAGGGACAGCCCTGTGCTCAAGCTGTCATCAAGCTGCCGCAACAAACCCATTAGCTGACACAAGTCCAGACAGTTTAAATTCCATGTCAGTCATTATTCCTGGGGATCTTCTGGTAGTTGGGGGTCTCTGAAGGGCTGCAGTAGGCAACTAGAAGTGCTAGCACCAAGGACTTGGAAAGAATTAGGCCTGCTGGCTCTGTGCCTCTCGGATACCTCCAAGTTCAGCAGGGAGTAGAACTTAATGGTAGAAAGATGGCTAAAAAAAGAGTACATCTGAGTGGTCAGCAGCCACTTAGAAAAAAAGGCCACTCCGTTGGGTTCCTAAATATAGATTTACACACCCAACTTAAAAACACATTAAAAAAAAATCTTGGCTTTATTTACAGACAAATAGCAGCAATTCCAACAGGAAGACGTTTGCGTTCCAGTGCAATTGTGCTTTAGGAAAGCTGCTGCTCCATAAAAGGGAAGCTGGTGCTGCCAGTGACATTTATGGGACTCAGCAGCCAGGGGATAACCAGCATTCCTGGTGTAGGAGCCTCAGCTCAGCCCTCCTGGAAGTGAGACATTTGGTCCTGAGAAATGTTCCACTGCCTGAGGAGGTACCATGAACAAGCACTTGGTCACTGCATAACCTGACTCCTCTTGTTAAACTCTGGGCTGCCCTGGGTTTCCTGCTAAAGGGTCTTTCCCAGCAAAGACTGACAACAGCCTGTTACCTGTAACCTGTGGATGGAAATGGCTTAGGTATAGCAAGCACTATGCCATACTGGAACTTCAGATATATGTACCAGCACTTTCCATGTATCCTGCATTTTACTGACTAATAGGGTTCTTATCTGCCCTCACTTCCAAGAAAATCAGGATCCAGGTTTATATTCTCTTTCTAAGGAAAGCTGCTATGGTCCTAGCATAAAGACCCTTATAGCCCTTCTTCAATAGCAGGCACTTATAAAAGAAAACTGCATATTATAAGACCCAAGCAAATAGATTTCTACACAACTTGAGTTCCAAATTTTTAAACGTGAAAAAACTCATCTCCTGTCTGGACATCAGTAAAGTACACAGACATCTCAACAGTGGGGTAATTTTCAGAAGTGTTTAGTATTGTTCTATCAGTCTATTTTGGAAATCAGTCATAAAAATGTTCATGGGAACCGAACTGCAGCACTGACACTAATGCTGATCACTAGTGGCTGAATGATATACAGTGTGTGAACATACCATTGTAATCATCAGTAGCATACCCAGGAGAAATGATGACATTCTGACTAAGTGCATATTTCATCCATGGGGTATACTGCATCCATCTGCTTAAGGATGCATCTGCAGGCGCTTACAAGGAAAGGAAATTCATACATTTTGCATGTATGATGAGCAAGAGTTTATTTGTCAAGTACTGAGAACCCTATAGTGGTGCCTTCAGTCTCAGACGAGTCAGCATGGTGCAGCTTTCTGAAATAGCTTGCATTGTACCAACCTGCCTACCCTGTTAAAGCACAGTTTCAGAAAACTAAGGCTGAACTTCTAGTGAAGCATAAACGAATCAGATACCTGTTGTATAAGAAAAAATACTCTGTAAGACTATGTAACTTGCTAACAGCTAGACTTGAAGCTGGAAGTGGTTGTTTTAAGATCTTTGTATGTGCAGGACAAAATGAATTATCTTTTTAGCTGTCTAACTACTTGTAAGTAGACAGCAAAAATAAAGACTCTTTAAAAAACATACTTCAGATTTCTGTTAGATGTAGGAGTGTGACAGAAGAACAAAATCCACTAACTGTCCTTTCTTTCCCATTCAGTGCAGACATTTTAAAAATTGCAAAATTTATGCTACTTGAAAAATTTTTACCCTCTTTCTCTGAAATGTTGTAGAAGTTAGTGAAGTTTGTATCTCATGTCAGAAGGGTCAAATGTCTCCAAACTCCAGTCTAATCCTGAGCTACTATTTTACTTGCTTGTTTTTGAAATACTGAAGTGGCCACTTAAAGGCTCTTTCAGCAGCAGTGGTAGCAGACCATCAAGATAATTATGCTGATAATACCATAGATTGATCATCAGCCCTGTTTCTGACACCCTGCATAACCCCAGGGTGCCTGAAGTGGATTTTTGGTTACGGAAACATATCTAGACTCTATTAACTCCATGGATTACAAGCCTATGAAGAGAGCTCAGAAAGGTAGCTACTATGTCCTACACCTAGGACTTGGTTCCGTTGCCTAAACATAGTTGCCTAGTGCAATCTGAACTGCTTTAGGGCATCTGAGACATCTGCTCAGGGCTCTTGGAGCACCCATGGGAGACCTGTGTCACTCTGGGTAGGCAATTGGAGGTCAGGTGGGATATCCTGGAGCATCTCAAATGGCAAAAAGCACCTACGCTGAGACAACTGAAATAAGACCTTCCTTCAACTAGATACCTAGAAGCCGAAACCCACTCCAGCTTCTACAGAGAGATCCATACAAAGTAAAGGGAGAGAAGGTAATCACGAAAAGTATCGGTATAGTTGTCTGGAATTGTCATTGCAGCAGAAGATAAAATAGTAAAGCAGGACTTGCCATCTTCCTGGTTGCTCTGGAAAGCTGTTCCTATTGTTCCATTTTTTCCCTGTGAAAGTAGCTGAGCTGATTTTGTTGTATACTCTCTGTGCTGTGGCTCACTGAAACTTTGAAAATTTATGAAAACCAAAGACCTAGGCTACACTGCAGATTTTTCCATTTCTTTTTACAAAATGTAAAAACACATTTATCTTTGGGCTTCTATCAGTATGCTGTTGGATTGTGTATAAGGTCTTGTAATTATGTCCAAGGATCTGACATTGATGCCTTTCTTTTTCCAGGTAAAGCTGAGTAAAAGTGGTCAGCCATGTATTGCTTTGACCAAAGAAAGAAGATTCAACTCATTGGTATTTCATGAGTTCACATAGATGTTAGGAAACTCTTTTACTTACAAAATCCTATAAAATAGTAATTCAGGGAGATAAAACTAGGTTTGAGTGAATGTTTTTTAGGAAAAATTTTTTGGGTCAACTCAAAGGTGGAATGAAAATATTGATTCTCACTGTCCTAATTTATTCTGGAGAAAATTGTAAAGGTTACACACACAAAAATCCAACCTGTTGTAAACCTAGGGATGAATTGGTGCAGTCATTACAAAGACAAAGTGTGGAAAAATTGAAGCATAGAGATAGTAACATGACTGCAAAAATGGGTAAGAGTTGCTGAGTTTTCTGTGCTTCTGCCACCTTTTTTTGGTGCTCTCCTGCTTTCCCAAGAGTGTGAAGAAGATGCACGTGCCTTCCCTTATCAAGTTCTGCAGTTGCTACTGCTGCTCCAGTGGTTTGGGGCATTTTCTGAGTGTGAACTGCCCTGGTCTCTTCTACCCTCCATCTCACCCATCAAAGTGTCAGCAGTGGGATGTGAACTTAATAAGCTCAGGTTCTGATATGAAGCAGGCAAACTGAAGTGGGATAAGGGGAAGAGAGAAGCCTATGTGAAAGAGAAGACACAGAGCCAGAAGCTGGGGTAGAAAAGGAGAAAGGACTGAAACAGTTTGAACGTCAGATGACACATCAGGCTTTGGCTCATACATGGTATCTGATATTTTGTCTATTTTAGACCGCAAACAAAACAAGAGATAAAAGGATGCTGTATTTGTTATTTGAATTCCTTGTCCAACTTGTTTTATATCTTTGTAGATCCCACTATGGTTCTTAGGTATTTGGCACATAACAGTAAGTAATAAAACCATTCTCCTCCACAAAATCAGCTACTCATTTGAATGGGGCTTTGTCCTGATATCCACAGTTCTAGGGGTTTGCAGCTACAGTTCCTTCAGGAGATGTCCCTACTATGTATGATATGGTAGAAGACAAATGCAATGCAGAACATCATACTACAAAACAGTTCACAACACCACCTGCATCCAGATGGTTCTACAGGCTGTGTGACAGTGTCTGGATCTCAGTGAATAACTGCTGTATACAGCTGGGACTTGTGTCTCCCTAGTTGAAGTCATTCTCCACTTAGTGAATAATTTTTTGTCTGCAGTGGTTTTGAGGTTTGTTGCTAATATGCAAGGTGCCACGTAGCATTGCCTCTGTTCTCTAATTGGATATTTTATTGAAACTAACATACCCAAAACAAAAGGAGCTTGCCAGAATTGCATACACAACTCAGAAGTGACACTGGCATTGGTGTGTCAGCATTAGTGGTGCTCTGGGTTCTTTCCAGACATACAAGAGGAGATGGAGTTTGTTCTGCAATTGTTATTTACATGCAACAATTTTTGCGCTTTTCATTCATCCTGCCTTCTACCTCTTCACTTCCCCCATGGTTTACTCCCCGTGTTTCCACTCCTGTTCCTTCTTCCAGGTCCTGGGCTTAGAGAAGCTCTGACCCCAACATCCAGCTAGTGGAAAGAAGGCTTTAGCACTATAGAGACTATTCCTCTCCCTGCCCAGACTCTCCTCATGAACTTGATGAGAACTGAAGTCTCACCATCTCAAGGGAGGCTAATACCTCACGGGCCTTCTTCATGTTAGCTGTTTCAGCCAGAGGCCAGATTCAACCATGGGTCTGTGTGAGGACTGTCTGCTGTTAAATTTAAAGTGATTTCTGACTGAACAGAAATGGGATACATATTTAAACTGAACCTGATTTCCCCAGAGTCATTTAGCTCAGGATTGTATCAAAAAATGTATATTCAAACACATCTCAGATGGTTGATTTGAAATCCAAATCCAAGCTCAGACTTTCCCCAGGCTCAGAAAAATCATGCTTGGCATTTGAGTTAGGTCCAGAATAAAAAGTAGTTGCAGTTGTTGGGTTTGGAGCTTGTACTATATCTGGGCTGATAAGACGTTTGGGGTGCAATTCAGTGAGTTACTCCTTTGCCAAAATATAACTGTTTTTTATGAGTACTATGAAAACAAAGGGTAAATTATATCAAAATATGGTGTTAGTCAGGAGTAGAAAAACTTACAGCCGTTTCAGCTCCTAGGACTTTGTTCAGTTTTTACTATCTTAGCTAAATATAGACTGAATATGTTATTTTAGGCTGATCTACTGCTGCTTTCACTGAAAGCAGACAGATGTTCCTCGAAGATTAATTTTACACATTCAACATTGAAAATTTTGACATGCATATGAATGTCAAGACCACCACTGTGGGCATTAGTTTTTGTTCTTGTAGTACTTATTATTATTTGAAAAATTAATCTCTTCGCACTACAACTCTTTATAAGTTTCTTATGTACCTGGAATTCTTAGGTATGAGGCTCATAATGTAGTGTTGATTTCTCAGCAGAGCTTCCTCGGAATCTTAAAAGGGAGATAACTGACACAGTGAGACTCATAAAGTGGGTCTACAGGTTTGCTATGGAGAGGACTTCAGGAAAATTAAGGTAAATTCATTAAAAGGCTGAGCACAGTAAATAGATGAGAAGGTGCTTAAATACCCCATGACAATTGTCTTACTTGGTACTCATTGGCCTTCAATTGCTTCTCCTCTGAGGATGAATAAGAAAAGCATGTAAGGTTACTTTAACTCTGTTAGGCCACACTTCATCCAGCTATCTAAAGAAAGTAACACTGCCTACATACCTCATCTTAACTTTTCATGGTGTCTTTGAATAAACAAGCCATAGTCACCCTATACACAGAATGTCAAATGATTTTGCCTTTTTAATCTTGAAAATACGTGGGAGGGCTGGAATGGCATCTTGGCCAGTTTTCCATTCCCTGATTCTCAAGTGAGTAGTCCTGCTGCTCTGAGTAGAGCTCCGCAAGTGCAAATTCGCTGAAAAAATGCACTGCCTTACAGTGAATGGGAGGTTAAAAGGGTTAGAAAGAACAAGGATTTGTTTTAAACATTCTTAAAACTTGGCCATATGCAAAAGTATTGGGTCATAAAACATTTTTTTTTTAACCCTGTAAAGAAAAAAATAAATTCTGTGTTTGTTCCCCAATAAAAAGCTTAACTCTGCAGGTTGTTCTTGTTTGCCATGAAGAACTGCTTAGTAGTGTGCAAGAAGAATGTCAACGGAATTGTCAGGAAGGGCTGACAACAGGACATCAAGGAAAGTGTTATTAAGCAGTATTCAAACTGTTCTACCTTCCCTTTTGCTATGGATATGGAAACATATAACCACACAGGTGCATCAACACAGCTGTAAGTATGTGCATGGACCCATGCACCTCAAAGTGCTATTGCAAGAATTTCTGAGACTTTTGATTCAATTAATTATTTTCAGGATTTTGAGTGTTCTCATATATATTGCATGTAAGGGCAAAGTGACACTGTAAACACATGAATGTGTAAGCCATGTCTGGGTTAATCAGATATTAATTGTGCATGTGTTTGATTTTCAGATGTCTTCTTGCTCTGGACAGATTGAATCTGGATTTGTATGATAAAATGAATGGGGAGGAGAAGGACCTCTATACATCCATATTTTTAAAAAGTACTAGGAATTAGTACCCACAATTCTGTTTAAAAGTGAAAAAGGAATGACACAAGAATAGCTAGCTGAGCTTACACACAAGCTCTTTGGTCCAAAGATTGGGAGTAGAGAAAAGGAGAGGCATCCTGAAAAGATAAAATAGCTTAAAAACCCCACCAGTTGGAGAAAGACAGCACTCAGCTGTTCTTTTTATGATTCTCTAAACTCTTTTCAACTATGAAAAGTATTTTTCTGTATGAAAAAAGATAAATCATTTTTAACATTTAAGTTAGCATCAAAGAGACATTTTTGTTACAAAAATTTCCAGGATACTTCCTGGAAGGAGTAGCTCACCTTGCTTTGAGCACAGATTTACATAAACAGGTTTTCCCGTCTCGCTGGCTTCTAGCTGCATCCATGTATGAAGGTATTTCTTACTCTGCTTGGCCATTACCTTCTGACCTTGCTTTGTGAGAAAGAGAGAGCTGTTGGCCACCCTCAGGAGCCCATCCTCCTCATGGCAAGTCCATCTGACTGCCTGAGGACAATCAACAATGATGCTGCGAGATGACAGGGCAGAGCGTGTAGAGATGCTCAGGCACTGGGCAGATTTCACGTGGAGGAGCCTGTCATCTTCTGTCCACTGCCACTGCTGGTTGATGTTGGTCATATTGCACTTTTCCATAATAACTCCTCTCTTTTCTGAAAGACACTGCTGTTTCTGGACATGGATAATCAGAAACCCTTCTGGAAGAGGAAAATTCCAGAAAAATACAATAGATTACACATGATTATTAAACAAAAAAGCAAATTCTTGATGGTTTAAAATACATGGGCAAATAAATCTCTCTTCCCACTTTCTATGTGTTGAACTTTTCATGAACTTTCCGTATGTCGAACCTATTGTAAAAAAAACCCAAACTCACAACCCACATTATGCAAGTGCTGGTAATGTAAAGAGTGAGAAAGCAAAAAGCAAACTATTGTGGCAAAGGTCACCTTTAACTTCATTATAAATAGAAATGAAGAAAAAAATTAAACTGGATATAAAAGAAATCCAAGAATTAGTGGCTTTAAATGCCAATTCTAAATACCCCACTTCCCCTGCTTGAAAACATACAAAGATCTACACAAGCTCTCAGTCTTTTTTTCAATTTTACAATATAATTTACTCTCTGGAAATTGTTTTTGTACATCTCATAGCGTTTCGGAATAAAATATATGAGGACATTCCCAAATCTGTGTGCCTCTCAGTGCCTGTGCCGTTACAGGAGTGGAGGGACTTTACTGATAGGAAGTACATCTGTTGCACTGGATTTATTCCAACATCTCTAGCTGTTAGTTTTGTGACCATCCTCATTCACATTAGATTGCCTCTTTGTAACACCACACTTAAAGATCAACACCAAACACTCCAATGAAGAGAACTACAATGCATTCATCAAAAAACCCCAAAGTTACCAACGCAAAATCCAGACTTGTTACACAACACAGAACTGGTGCAGCCTCCCTGCCACATCTTGTTTAGGTTTTTCTCTTTTTTTAATCCCAGTAACTCAAACATTTCCAGCCTCATTAGTTACAAAGTGCTAAACCCAACGTGTATTCATTTCCTTTCGTTGAAGTTTGTCATCCCCTTTTTTTTACAGACCTGAGCATTTTCTAACTAAGCGTCAGAGACAGCTCCTGGCTCTGAAGTTTCACAAAGTAGAAATAAAAAATAGGAATCTCCCCTTCGAAGAGCTCAGGTCCTGGATTGTCTAGGAGGAGATCTTCTTAAAAAAAGAAGAGGTATCTCCAGCATAGAAGGAGACAGTTTATTTTCCTTTGGAAAGAAACCTAAACAGAACGGGCTACGTTGGCCCTGCCCCCCATTCCTCTTGCATGAACCCCGGTGAAGCAGTAACTCAGTTTTTGTTAGTCACCAGCTGTGCCAGAGGGCACAGAGCAATATGGCAGAGGGGAAGTGGGGAGAGGGCACTTACCTGAGAATGTCAAGGCAATACAGGTAGAAACCAGGACGTGAAATAAAGAATCCATTTTCCCTCTAGCAACTCCCCATGCTTCTCTTAAAAAAACCCACCTCAGATAAGTGAAGCGAAGGCTAGGAAGGAAATGTGCCTTCACAGGGGGAAAAAGTCAGTGACGAGCACTTCCTTCTATTCAATTGTTTTGGGGAGTTTTACACCACTTTGTCCTTTCGTATGATTCTTCAGAGTTTACTAGTTGCTTTATTTTGGAAAAATACAAGCAAAAGACAGAGAGGTTTTCAAACACCTGGGAAACTGAAAGAGATGATATTGAATCTCTTCAGATTAAAAGAAAAGGGATTATATTTTTGTGTAATTTGTTGCCTGTGAAATATTACATGTCTGCAGGTGATCTGGAAGGTGCTGAATAAGTATATACTGTATTATCCAGGGAACAAACACACATTTTTTTTAACTATACATAATCAAGCAAAATCTCGATATTGATACTTCTAACTCCACAAGTTCTAAAAGTCAAGTGGAGGGTGGGGGGAGAAGGGGAAGAGGAGGAGGCAAGGCTCTGAAGTCTGCACTGGGTCTTACATAGACTTCCCCTGAGGGATCAGGTGCTTGCTGGTTTTGCTTTCCTATCGGGTCATACACCTTTCTCTGTGTCAGTGGGAGATTGCCTGTGTCCTCTGCACTGGTTCTTCAGTGGTCTGAAGCCATAGTGGAGGCTAACCGAATTGTACTGGGCTCTCCCTGTTTATGGTGGTACAAGAGCATGTGGTGCAGTAACTATGCTAGGCAAGAATAGAGACCTGGGTAAATCTTTTATATCAAGTGTAATTTATTAGCAGTATGAAGCAAAGTCAACATCACTGCATTAAAAAGTCATTATACCCTGTAAACAGACCTCCCAGTGCTGTAAGTCATAATGCCAACTTCACATTTCTCTTAAAAACAAAGTCTTACTGAACAGTAAAGGAAACAGTCATAGCAGCATTTTCTTTCTCGTATAATCTGTCATGGAAGAGTCCATATCACTAAAGGCATCTATCTCTTACTGAAAGAGATAGAGCAGTTAAACAACGTAAGCAAAAAATTCTTTATTAATAAAAGACAGACAAATATTTAAAATCCTTACCATTTAATATATGCTACAAAGTTTCTTTTAAAAGTAAAATGACTTACACAATTTACAAATACACTGGATTCAGGTCTGCAGCAGAAGCATGTTCTGACAATCAACAGTATAGGATAAATACATACACACTTAATGACAGACATTGTGCTCTGCAACTGCTCTGTAAGACCTACAGTAAATACACATTTAATAGTTAATAGTATGAAGAACATGTTATTTCCATATAAAATATTAACTGCTTTTGAGTATTTTCAAAAACAAGACTTTAAATTTTTTTATTATCTCACCTTCTTTTTCTTAATCCATAATTGAACACTTGCAATTTTAGCAGCAAGGATATTATGTGGCCAAGAAACAAGCTCACCACATAATCAGTAATAGCACTTTACAGTACAGTTGACAGTCCATTCACAAGACAGTTTGCAAACGTTAAAGCATTTATACACTTGATAAACATTTTGTCTGTGGAAGTTCCAATGTCCATCCGACTGCAGCAGTAGCACATACATACATTCCATATGGCAGATATCAGTATTACAGAATTAAACCCACCTTTAGATATATATGCTAAATCCACGTGTCGTTTCAGTGTGGTACCTTCTTTATAAATCATTTTTTGGGAAGCTCACAATGCATTCATATACAGTAAGGGTCCAGCAATCTCTGTATTTTTGCCAAACCGTTCACAATCCTTTCAGAAGATGGCCTCAAAGCTGTTCTTTCCACTGCAGTAAACTTCTTGAAGAAGCTGCTGGTAGGTAATGAAACAAATTACCTCAGGAGACTGACATTCGGTTTTACCTTCCTTGGCTTCACTGGACAGCTTCTGCAGAAAGTCTGCTTTCATACAGACTCAGTGCATGGTGCACAAATTCATACTGTTCGCTGGTCTGAACCATTCCACCCCTGAAAAAGAAACACATTGGAATGAAATCTTACTTAAGAATGCAACAACCTCCAGCCATGACCACCAGATATAATACAAGCCCTTTTCTCAATTTTTGACTTAGAGTTTCCTTCAGTAAGTTGGAGATTCGCCTGAGCAGAAGTACGTTCTTCAAAACTTGTGCCATCCAGCTCATGCCCAGAATGAACCACCATTCCCAATTCTGTTAGGGTAAGAACTAGAGAGGAAAACATCTGGCACCTACACTGTTTAAACCTAGATTTCAAATTCAACACATGCAAAGAGAATTTTGCTCAGCCACTTGAGCAAGAAAGGCCAGATATATGAATGCAGCAATACTACTGATGGAGCAAGGGAGTAATTTCTGTCGTTTACTAAAAATGTAACCTTTGGTGACCCTCAGATTGCCTGTGCAAAGAACAGCTCTTCCTGTCCTCTTTCTAACGCCTGCAATGCATCCTGTCTGAACAGCAGCCACCTAAGAAATTTTACAGCAGTGACTCATTTCAGCATCAACAATACAAAAGACTTTAACCTGACCATAAAAAGGCCTAGTTACAGCCAGCTTGGATTAGATGCCTACATTTAAAACCGTCACCTGATAGCAATACTTTTTTAATCCCTTTTTCAAGTGTAAGTACGAGGCTCAAGTCCCACATCTCCAGTGCCAATTGCAGTGTGATAGGAAGGGGATGATGTTCTACAGGAGGTAGGTGTGATATTTAGTAAGAGTGGTACCATTCAGCTCTGAAATTAAACGGAGCCTCTTTCTGACAGTACTAAGGTCTTCCAGGTCTCACTTCTCATGGAGTGAAGCCTCAAGTTTACTTAATTCCACTTTTATTATCTTATCTGCCAGGGTATTCAAAGCTACCTACTCTGCTTCTAGAACCAAGTCCCCAGTTTATCTTCAGCATACCCTGGAGTGGCTAGTTACCTTTGGGGGGTTGAAAGACGAAATGGCCTTAGTGGGAAGGAAGACATTAAGATGTATATTGTATTTGGCTTCAGCGAGATCTTCCTTTAAACAAACAAATTTTTGAAATATTCGGATCCAGAGCAATGTTGAAGCCAGGCATCTTACAGAAGGTCTGACAAACCCCCATGTGATCCCTTCAGACACTCTAGCACCAAAAAGGGTCTACTGATATACAAAGCTATATGAAAAATGGTAAAGCTGCCTCAACAAGCATTGTCCTTTAGTATTAGGAACATTCTCTACAATCATAAGGTCCTTTTATTTTTCTCAGTGCTACTGAATGGTTAAATGGCTGTGGCAGGAAATTAGATAATTGTTAAATAATTATTAATTAACAGAATTAAAATAATACCTACTTCTTTAAGCAAGTGACCAGCTGTCTGCGCTCCTCCGGTGAGCTCAGGCAACTGTAGAACATCTTTTAGTGGCCTGCATGTCTATCATGATATGCTTTTCCTAGGAATTAAATCACAGGCCCTTAAAGGGTCCCATCTGGTGCAACATGTAGCAGCCTCTTAGCTTTGCCAACAGAGACATCCACAAATTCATAACTCTTGGCTGCCTGCTGCCTTCAGCTGCTTTCCTCTGTGCCTGTCCCCTGCCTGGAGATCCAACGAGAGTCTAAAGGTGATGGGAGGGCTTTGCTCTGGTTCTCTGTGCTGCCTAGCCTCTTTCCTTCCTCCTCACTGCTGTGTCCTGATCTGCCCACGCAACACATTCCCAGCCAGATTCCCTCCTCTCTCCCCCATCAATGGTCCCCCAAGATGTTCTCTAAGGGAGTGTGTTTCCCAGGTTAGATCCGCAGTGTGGAAGGAGTGGAGGAAGGGAACATATCCAGGCAGAAGGACCTGGCAGGAAGTGCAGGTTAAAACAAGTTTGGCTGCACTGGGCTGTTGGCAGGGGTGATCCTTGCTCCTTCCTCTTGGGTGCTGAAGCAACATACAAAATCCCCGAGAAGGCATGTATAAGACTGGCTGGGGCTGAGCCCAGCACTACCGCATTTGCCCTGTGTTAGCAAGCATAACTAAGAAGTTGTGATGCTTCTGAATCCTGTATGGGCAAATCAATGCACATCCCTGTCATCTTAGGGGCACCTGAGTTGTATACAGAGGTTCAGACAACTTGGCCTTCTCAGTGCTATTATACATGGGGTTCATAGAACCATAGCATCACAGAATGGCTTGGGTTGGAAGGGTCCTTTAAAGATCACCTAGTGCAACTCCCTGCCACAGGCAGGAACATCTCTCACTAGACACGTTGCCCCAAACCCCATCCAACCTGATCTTAAACACTTCCAGGGATGGGGCATCCACAACTTCTTTGGGCAACCTGTTTCAGTGTCTCACCATCCTCATAGTAAAGATTTTCTTCCTTATATCTAATCTAAATCTCCCCTCTTTTAGTTTAAAATTGTTACCACTTGTCCTATCACTACAGACCATGGTAAAAAGGCTTTCTCCATCTTTCCTGTAAGTCCTCTTCATACATTGAAAGGCTGCAAAAAAGTGTCCCATTTTCTTCTCCAGGCTAAACTACTCCAGCTCTCACACCTCCTTCATAGGAGAGGTGCTCCAGCCCTCTGACTATTTTTGTGGTGCTTCTCTGGACCCTCTCTAGCAGGTCCATGTCTTTCTTGTATTTGGGACCCCAAAGCTGGATACAGTGCTTCAGGTGGGATCTCACATGAGCAGAGGAGAAGGGGAGAATCACCTCCCTTGACTGGCAGGCTTGCGATTCTTATGCAGCCCAGGATACAGCTGGCTTTCTGAGCTGCGAGTGCACTCTGCTAGCTCATGTCCAATTTTTCATCAGCAATATCCCCAAGTCCTTCTCCCCTTTGTTCTTGTGCAAGGCTTGTGTTTAACAGCAAGGAATTATCTGTGACCCTAAAACATCAGTTTGTGCAAAAGGCTGCATGGAAGACCATTTCAGGGGGAAATCTGCTCAAGGAGGGGACATTTCCCCTCCTGCATCTCTAGTGCCCAGAAGGTATATACCCTCAGGTATGGCACCTCCGGCTGTGCAGCCTTCGCCCTCTGCCAGCCCTCAC